TATACCTCTGCTGTAGGTTTCATGTTAAAACTAGAACACCAAGTAAGCAACTGCTGTAGCATTATCCAAGCATCCTCTTGGAGTGTCTGTTTTCTAGAATATGTTGCTCATGTTCTGCTATTCATGTTTCAGCAAGTAAAAGCTGAGAAAGGAACTCTACCATCTGGGTCTTCCAGGAGAGTTGAGAGAACTCCTTATGCGAAGCTGCTCAAAACTAGTGCAAGTACTTGAATATTACTGAAATGATGAAGATAGGTTTTAGAAATAGGGGTTCATTTTAACTGTTTTACAAATGACAATACGCATTTGCTGAATAACTTTGTGAGTAGACTGAGTGCACGTGCATATTATGAAAGAAAAAGTGAGTTGACCAGTTCACCAGTTCCCTTAGTCTCAGGGGTACAGAGTGTGCTCTCCCCGTTGTAATCTTCACAAAGTTAAGATTGCACTGCTAAAAAGTTAGTGTTTTCAGTTAACTTTTTTCCTTCACCCTCTTCTATACTTGTACCCCACCCACTAATGATATTTAAGCACCTGGTATCACTAGCCTTTCCTGGTGGAGTCAGAAGTAGCTGTAGGATCTGCTTCCTCCCAGCCTGCTGGTGACAGTCAGAAAACAAGGTTAACTAAATCACATTTCAACTTTATTATAAAATTATAAACCAAACTTTTGTACCAAAACTAGTAAGTTGAACCATCATAGTACCAAGATGATTTAATAGAGAATAACATGCCATTTCAAGTAGAATATTAACTTTTAAAATATTTAAGCTATGTACAGTGGACATAAAGCACATAAATATTTCCATTTACTTTATTAGTTTATATCATTATATTCCTTTGGATCATTAATCAGTTTCCTCCAGATTTTGATTTTCCTTTAAAAACAACTCAGTCATCCATAAGTAGAGAATCCCTTCAGAAAGCACATTTCAGAGTCATATGGTAGATAGATCTTCTCATTCCCAAAATTTCAGGCATTGATCTGTAACTTGATTTATCTGCTGTAGAAAATAAGCCTACAAGTAAAAGGACATCTGTCCACAGGGGAAAAAAAATCTTCTTTCTGCTGAATTTCCCTAGCCCTGAGTTTACTGAAAAATATGACAACATGAATTTTCACAGTGAATTTACTAACTGAGGCTGTTCAACACTTTGTATGTGTATTCCTATACCTCTTAAATAGGTCCCTGTGAACCTCTTGAAGAGTAAATACAGATACTGCTTACCTGCAATTTTTTTTTAACGTGATACACCGAATTGTACCAGTACTCCTTCTCATGCTGGAAGCTCTTAAACCCTCAGCCAAAGATTAGAGAACAGCCTGAACAGGGAAAGAGGTAAAACTCTGAATTTTTAGTTCAATAAACCTCAGCAGCTGTTGCATTTTTGTGGGGTTCAGAGACCACCTCAGTAGCGCAGAGGTTCTGCTATCTACTGAGTGACAGATTTCTTCACCTTAAGTGCTTTATTGATTCCAGCTTGCAGAGTAGAGACCCTTTACTCCATGACAGCTGAGAAGCGAGTTGCTACTCGTGCAGTATTCCACGTTAAGGATTACCCAAATTTAATTTGCGGTTAACCTGTATTACCACTTATTGCACAAGTAGATGGCTTTGGTGATCTGCAGGCTGAAGAGGAAAGGCCCATCGCATCGGGAGAGATGCCGGAGCCGAGCGGGGCAGCCCTGTCTGCTCCCTGTGCAGCAACCAGAGCAAGCAAGGAAAGGTGATGGGCGAGAGTGGTGGGTGATTCTCCTGAGGGGCCCGGGGGTGCTGCTCACCGGGGGCTCCGGGCAGGGACCCCTGAGCCTTGTGCTCTCCACTATTACCTGCTGCTGTTGTTTCCTGTGGGCAACGGCGCTACAGCCTGAGGAGCATCGAGGATTTCAGAGCCCTGGGAGCAGCAGTAAGGGACTCTGGAGCACAGGTCGTTTTTTTTCATTGGTTCTCCTGGTCAAAGGGGTTTGAAAGGACCAGTCGAATCTGGCAAATCAACAATTGGTTATGGGACTGCCACAGCCAGGGGTTCGGCTACTCAACCGGGGCAGCTGGGGCCCATCTGTCAGAGAAGGGGAAGAACGTCTTCAGCCACAGCCTTGCCAAGCTGGTGAGGAGGGCTTTAAGCTAAAGCCGCTGGGGGAGGGGAACCTCAAGCCATCTGACTCCTACCAGCTTGATGCCAGTGCCAGCAATAGATACCCAGAGCCTGGAGAGCGGTCACGGCAGCACAGGAAGAGGGGCACGGAGGAATTCCAGCCAGAAAGTCAGCTTCACTGCGGGCCTGACTTAACTGCTGCTGCAAATTCTTGTAGCATGGGGAATAAACAAGAGGAGCCAAGACATGCACATGCCTGGAGGGCTACAATCGGACAGAATTAAATCTGGCCAGAGACATCTAGGGCAACAAGAAAAGTTTCTATAGGTACGTCAGTGATAAAAGGAAGACTGGAAAATGTGGGCTCTCTGTGGAAGGAAGCAGGAGACCTGGTTACCTGGGATATGGAGAAGGATGAGGTACCCGATGACTTTTCTGCCTCAGTTGTCACCAGCGAGGGCTCCAGCCGCACCGCCCAAGGGGCAGAAGGCAAAGGCAGGGACTGGGAGAGTGAAGAACCACCCACGATGGGAGAAGATCAGGGTTGAAAACATCTCCGGAACCTGAAGGTGCACAGGTCCATGGGACCTGCTGAGATGCATCTGTGGGTTCTGGGAGAACTGGCAGATGAAGTGGCTCAGCCACTGTCCGTCATATTTGAGAAGTTGTGGCAGTCCGGTGAAGCTCCTGCCGACTGGAAAAGGGGAGACATAACCCCTCGTTTTTAAAAAGGGACAAAAGGAAGACCTGGGGAACTACAGGCCGGTCACCGCTGTGCCTGTCAAGGTCAGGGAGCAGATCCTCCTGGAAACTGCTGGGGCACATGGAAAATAAGGAGGCGATGGGTGACAGCCGACACGGCCTCACTGAGGGCAAATCCCGCCTGATGAATTTGGTGGCCTTGGGCGGTGGGGTTACAGCACTGGGGGGTGAGGGAAGAGCAAGTGACGTGTCTGCCTGGCCTTGGGCAAAGCTTGTGGCACCGTCCGGTACAACAACCTTGTCTGTAAATTGGAGACGGGGGTTTGACTGCGGGGATAAGGAACTGGCTGGCTGGTGGCACTCCAAGAGCTGCCGTCAGCTGCTCGATGCCCAAGGGCAGAGCAGGGACGAGGGGCGTTCCTCAGGGGTCGGGGCTGGGCCCGGCGCTGTTTAACATCTTTGTTGGGACACGGACAGTGGGATCGATGCACCCCCAGCAAGTTCACCCGTGACACCGAGCTGTGTGGTGTGGGGACACGCGGGAGGGCAGGGGTGGCATCCCGAGGGGCCTGGGCAGGCTGGAGAGGGGGGCCCGGGCAAACCTCGGGGAGTTCAACAAGGCCAAGGGCAAGGTCCTGCCCGTGGGCCGGGGCAACCCCCAGCACGAACCCAGGCTGGGCCCTCGAGGAGCGGCTGGAGAGCAGCCCCAGGGAGAGGGACTGGGGGGGCTGGTGGGGGGAAAACTGCCCGTGAGGCAGCCCCGTGCGCTGGCAGCCCAGAACCCCCCCGTGCCCTGGGCTGCAGCCAGAGCAGGGGGGGCAGCAGGGCCAGGGGGGGGATTGTCCCCCTCTGCTCCGCTCTGGGGAGACCCCCCTGCAGTGCTGGGGCCAGCTCGGGGGCCCCAACAGCAGAAGGACACGGAGCTGCTCGAGCGGGGCCAGAGGAGGCCACGGAGATGCTGGGGGGGCTGGAGCAGCTCCCCTGGGGGGCCGGGCTGAGAGAGTTGGGGGGGTTCAGCCTGGAGAAGAGAAGGCTCCGGGGAGCCCTTCGAGCGGCCTCCCAGGGCTTAAAGGGGGGGCAGGGGAGGGGGGGAGGGACTCTGGGTCAGGGGGTGGGGGTAGGATGGGGGGTGATGGTTTTAAACTGACAGAGGGGAGATTTAGGTGAGATGTAAGGCAGAAATTCTTTCCCGTGCAGGGGGTGAGGCGCTGGCCCAGGGTGCCCAGAGCAGCTGTGGCTGCCCCCTCCCTGGAAGCGTTCAAGGCCAGGTTGGACGGGGCTGGGAGCCCCCTGGGCTGGGGGAAGGGGGCCCTGCCCATGGTCTCTAAGATTCCTTCCAACTCAAACCTTTCTGTGATAATTTCTGTTACCGTACTCCAGCAGCTGTAAGCAGACACTTGAGGTATTTATACTGTTCCTCTGCTGGCCACGATGCAGAGATTCAGTTTGAACATGAAGTGATCATACACACCCCCTAAAGCAGAAACTTAGACATGAAAAAATCTGCACCAGGACTTAGTCAATTTCAGAAATGACTTGAAATGCGTATGCAATCCCAGGGTGGCTGAAAACTCAAGGTATCAACATTCTGAAACTGAGCTGTGTTACCAGCCAAGGGACCGAATGCTTGCGGGCTGCTGAGGGAAAAATAAGCCATTTTCTCTAGCAAGGCTTCCAACTGACCTTGCTGTTGAGAAGGATAGCTGTAAGGGCTGGCAATTGTCACGTATCAGACCCCAGGATCTCCTACCCAGCCTCACAAGCAGAAAGGGTACGGTATGAATTGCTTTTGGTAAGCAGTCTGAATGTAACAGGACTGGAATGCTGAGCAAAGGGGAAAACTGAGCAATAGGGAAAAGATGATTAGTAAACAGAAGCATCTGCATTGATCACTCATCTGAGCGCTTCAAGGGAGATAAAGTTTGCTTTCTTTCATACCTCCCCTCTGAAAAGGAGTCATTTGTACTTAAATAAGATTGTGTAGCAATGGAATCTTTACTTACTACTCTTTAGCTCTATGTTTTCCTCCCTAAACCCTCTAACAGATGCAAACCTTAGATTTTCTAGACCCTTAATCAAGTGAAGTCAGTTCAGTTTTAGAACAACTGCCAGCATACACTGTAAGGGAGCCGGTGAAGTCAAAGGAATCAACAACTAGCAATCTTCTCACTGGCATGTAAACAGAAAACCACCACACAAGGTAAGGCTGTATGTTTCACAGTCTCACTCCCCTTACATTTTTCAATAATAAAAAAGTCCATCTTCAAATAAAATGATACATTTTTCCACAGTTGCACTAGGCTGTAGTTATGAATATGGAAATCAAAGGCTGTCTGCCTGTCCTGCAAGCATAAGAATTTAACGTTAAATTAAAAAAAAAAAAGAAAATTAACAAACAGTAAAATTTTAATCTTTGAAAATAAAGTTGTTGCTGGGTATATAGCCTAAGCAGTAAAACAGATGTCACTTTTTGAGACCCCAGTCCACTTTTGTTTATTACTCGGGGGGAAATACAAAGCCTGTGACCCTGGTGTTTGTGGTGGAAAGCCGGGAATCCATCAATCCCCAACAGTAGCGCATCGAGTTGTTCTAGAGCGTCGGTTGTTACCGACTGCTGTGTCTGCTGCTGACGGTAAGCTCCGAGGAGTCCAGGCACTGTGGTGTAAAGCACTATAGTGGGAAGAGCACGGCCAGGCATGGCTTCAGTAGGAGCAACTTTCCCAGGCTTCATCCTTCCCTCACTTCCAGCTTCCACCGGGGTCCAGGTGCTAATCCCTGACCTAACTACCTGTAGCGATTCTGACCGTTTCTCTAAGAGCAGAGGAGGCTTTAAGGCAGCACCCGTCTTCCATACACACACTTAGGACTTAAATACGTGGACGGCCCTTATCACGTACTGCCTGCATATGGGACATTCGCTCATCCGCTTCCCACACTTGGTGCAAGTGACCATGTGGCCGCATTCGAGCAGGACACAGTCAATGGGGGCGTCCATGCAGATTTTGCAGAGGTTGTCCTCCGCGCCAGGGAGCCCAGCACCACCTGAGTGAACAAGAGACCACGGTTTGCATGAGACAAAGAAAGGTAGGTCATTTCTGTGTGATCTGTGAGTTGGCTTTCTCAAAGGGCTCCCTTAATGGACTTTTTGCAAACTGAAGCTCTAAAAAAAAAAATTCCCCTTTCATCTACACTGCTGTGGATGTATCTGCTCCATCAACTGGCAAGGAGCAGAACGTTGTATACAGTAATTTCTGTGTGACGAAAACAGAAATACCACTGAGATTCTTAGCAATGAGGCAAATGAAGCAGCATGGGTCTCTCTTCCCAAGTAACAAGTGATAGGACAAGAGGAAACGGCCTCAGGTTGCACCAGAGAAGGTTTAGATGGGATATTGGGAAGAATTTCTTCACTGAAAAGGTTATCAAACACTGGAACAGGCTGCACAGGGAAGTGGTGGAGTCCCCATCCCCGGAGGGACGTGGTTTAGGGGTGGGCTTGGCAGTGTTAGGTTTACGGTTGGACTCCGTGATCTTACGGGTCTTTTCCAACCTAAATGATTCTGTGATTTACCAGTAATATTACTTACCAGTTTGATCGTCAGTGTCAGCAACTGCAACATAAGAATAGAAAGTTACTTGGTGAGAATAAGAGAAGCTGGAAAAAAAAAAAATCACTGAAGTGGTTTTATGAGGCAAGAGATGAAAGCCTTGGCGGGAGATTACTAAACCAAAACTGCCTTTTGCCAATCCCCATGCAGAGGTTCAGGCTGCATCTCTGATCAGGATAGGTTGTTCAACTGGCAAGAAACTTTCCCTTTTACTGAGTTTACACAACAGCTAGCACCTCACAACAATAAGCAACTATCTAAGTGATGTCTCAATTTTTAAGACAGCCTTGAAATTTACGCAGTGTTTGGGTTCCTAGAACTATGTTTTCCGTAGCCCCCTGAGCCAGTTTCTTTGGTATTGCACAATCACCAATATTGCTGAGCACAGCTGAGACACAGGCACAGACAACAGAAAGAGAAAAGGATAAATTCTGTCAAAAGCACAAGATACAATGAAAAAAGAATTTAAAATTCAAGTGGTTATCTTAAATCTTTTCACATTCATAGAAGACAAAGCTTAGAGAAATGTGTTTAAAAAAACAGCACTACTTTGGACAGCACTGAGAAAAAAACCTGTCTATGAAATCAAAGCGTTAAAATGTGTTTCTCTTGTAAATAACTTACAAGTACATGTCTTTTTTTAACTAATCACATCGAATTGCAAACTGGCACCCGAAAGCCAAGCCAGCTACATTCTCTATGTGCCTCTGTCACACGGCTCTCCCCGTCAGCAGTCAGCTGCGCAGGCCCAGCGGGAGGAATGCTCCTGGGGTCAAGAGGACAGAGTCAAACCACACAAACCCACAGCTGTTCAGCAGTGGGGGCCACTCGCACTCAGCACATGCCCACTCCCAATTGCCTGGCTGCTTTTTGGTGGCATTTTCCTGCTCACTTTGCCAGTTACCATGAGCCACTAGGTAAGAGCACTTTGTCACCTGGGTGACGCGGTGACCACCGTGATCTGCCACAGCTACACAGAACCCCAAGATGAAGGACACACCATTCTCATTTGTTGCTACTGCAGGGAAGTCACTTTCCAGAGCTACCATAAAAGTGGTGAACAGAGTTTAGCTCCTTTCACTCTAAGGTGTGTAACACTCCCTCCTTTCTCCTCATTTGCATAAAACAGAAATGTAAGGTAAGTTCTATTTCCTTCTGCAACTGTCCATAAAAAGGAAAAACTTTGAAAACAGGCACACGTTTGCTAAGTTTCCCACCTAGATGTTGAAGGTCTTTCTCTTTATAAAGACGAGTCACCCTCTCTAGCAGCTCCCACTTCTCACAGCAGCCTTTGTAGTTGACAAAGTTGCGAGCAAGAATTTCCTTCAGCTGTCGCACAGAGAGCGCATTGATGTCTCCGATGCTTGTCAGATCAGAAAGAGAAGCCTTCCTCCCCTGCACCAGGTTATCTTCCGAGTCAGTAGACTGAAAGGGAACAAAGATGGAATGATTCTTGCCCTCAACACAATTTAAATCAACTTTCAACCTGTGCACTAAGAGGAATACACGTTTGGATGCACACAGAACTTTGATTACTCTGTGAATTCCTCCATCTACTAGAAACACAAGTCCTAGGATGGAATTAAATAATTTCTAGCATAACAGTGCCCAAGTGACACCAGTTCTTTCCATACATGGAGAACAAGATGATGCCAAAGAAAGGGGTTGATTTGGTCTGCTGGTGGTCAGTCTCAATTACTCTTTAGCCACCCACCTCTGCAGTAATGATTCTGTGGTAGCAAATACAGCCTAGAAAACCTGCTATTCCTTGCCATCTAATTCCAGGACACACAAACCTGTGTCTCTTCCTCTGTTGGTGCTTCTGCTGCATTCTCAACTCCTGTCATACCGACTTGGCTTGGAGACACATAACCATTTGCCTAGAAGAGGAAATAGAGCTTTCACCAACAGGGTATATGTGTGTCAAGGGAAATAAGCTCGACAGTTCAGCATAACTGCAAACCATGCCCACTGGAAAGATGAACTGCAGCACAAGGTAAAAGCAAGACACACTTGCAGAAGGTATTCCCTGTGCAGCACTCATGAAAACAAATAAACTTTAATCAAGTAAAATTTTTTGAAACTGAAGTGCAGCATCTGACCCTTTAAAGCCTCACTTTATTTAAACCCTGACTGAGTTCTTGTACAGTAAGATCCCACATGATGTTCTTGTGAGGCTTGATCAGAAAGAGACCAAATTTATACATGTATGTATATATATGGAATTCTTCACTGAAGTGCTGCAGAGTGACATGCTGTGATATCACAGCTCTGATGCACACCAGCTATCAGTGCAAGGCTCTGTACGAGACTCCTCTGTAACACAGCTCAAAGCCTACAGGTCATCTTCACAGTAACCATACAGAGACACCTCCTCAGGTGGGTTCTGGCCTGGACAAATAGGAGATACTAACTGAAGGACCAGCAGCAACGGAGCTGGAGAATGAGAAGGGGCAGCTACTTTGAGCACTTAATAAAACGAAAGGAACTGCAGTGTAATTCTAGCTGAGTTGCCCTCAGCAGCTATCATTCCCCTCTGTTTTCCCTCATGACAAAGGAGATTGTAATGTTACCATCCTACTTATCTAAGTGGTGACTTGTTAATATTTACAGAGCAAAAGAATAGCAATAATGATGAAAGAATGTGAACTGTAGCAGGATGTCATGCAAGTAGAGACAAGAAGCTGAAATGTATCATGGGGCAGTAAGGGAAGGTAACAGAGATGAATTTCCTGGTAAAGAATGGCAATATCCAGAAAACCAGAGAATGAGAACGCCTTGTAATGATCTGTAAAAAATGTCCTCTCAGGAAACCTCTTCTTCTGTAGTAGCTGTATCTGCTAAGGAAGCAGAAGGTACATACACTTTCACAGCCCTGACCCACAGGGAACTAAATACACCTATTAACTTCATAATAGGACTAGGAGCAGATGTCAAACACTGAGTAAACATCCCATAGCAGACGGCAGAAAGAAAAACAAAGTCAATAAAAAATAATTAAGCTCAAATGCCCCTGACAAGGTTCATCAGAACTGCAGGTTCATCACAAACTAAAGACTTAACACACTCAGTTTTGTCTTGTATTGATCTGAGTGCAGAAGGCACCAAAACCCTCACCCATCTCGCAGTCATCTCTCATTAGTTTCAGTTCCAAAATTGATTTAAATGGTGTTTGCTGTCTTGCACATGAATTAAGTAACAATAATAACAACCATTTCATCTAACACCTACATACAATTGTCAGAAAGTTGTCAACATCAACACATAGGATTGATATGTGCATCAACACAGACATCAAGTACCAAAGGAACCAGTCACAGGAGTGTCTAGTGGCAATGGCAAGTGTGGATCAGAGCACTAAAGCAAGAACATCTTAAAATAGCGATGTTGTTCTCAGAGTGAATGTTCAATGTATTCAGCACTGCCCACCAAATTAAATTCCGCTGGTTTAGAAAGGGAATATCACATCAAAATTGGTGACAGCAAGTCACAGTTTTACACAGCAAGGCAGTGTAAAATCTCTCAGCTTACTTTCCTAATTATTCTGTAAGAAAGTGCAAGGTCCCCACTTTGAAATTAAAAACAAACCTGAGAAGAGCATGTATAAAATGCAATTGAAGTATTCCGTCATCTGTTCTAAACAGAAGCCCTCTTTGCTTTTTAAGCAGGCATCTTTAACGTAAAATTTTTTTGGCACATTATCTCCTTGGAAAACCTCATGCAACATCTTAGTAGATAATCCAAAAATACAGAGGAAGGAGTTTGCAAAAGATGCTTCTGGCTAGAGACTGTACCTGTTGATGTTCCTGAGCTAGTGAACTTGAGATGGGATCTGCAGACCCTGGAGACGCATCATGTGAGGTAGAAGATGCTATGCTGGTTGGTGGGAGAATCACAAAGTCTTGCTGTCCAGAGGCACTGGTATTAAATGGGTTTGTTCTTATCTGACCTTCCTGGGTAACTACAGGCTGCTGGCCAAGAATCAGAAATACCAGGTCCTCCTTTTCACGACACAGCTCTGTGGAAATCTCACGGAGTGCCAAATAGTCTCGCAGATCCTTCACCTTCATCTTTATCAACTCTTCTCGCTGAAAAGCTGTGGCTCGGAAACGCTGGCATAGATGGCAGAGAAGAGGACCACCTTCAGGCTGGTTTGAGCAGGACGTACAAAAATTCTTCTTACAGTCCAAGCAGATGTGCTGGTAAAAAGAAAGGAACAGCATCACACTGATCCAGCACGGCCTGTGACAGAGGCGCACAACGACTGCCGGCAGTGTTCCCCTACCATCCGGGAGCCAAAGTAAGTAGTAGCCACTGATAAAGTATAATCAACACCTTCTAATTTATGAAAACATGCCAAGTATGTTACTCATGTTCCTAGATGAGGAAAAGGATTGATCCCATGAGCAGATCACTAAATTCCTCGCAGGTCTTAGAAAAGCACTTTTACATTCCATTTACCCAGAATGAAATATTATATTCTTAGACAATTCCCTCGAGTGACAGGAGTTTTCTGCACCTTGTTCCAGACCTGTTCATCCAGTTTAAACAACAGATGAGATCAGGAGAGATCTGTGAGGCAGCAGACTTTCAAATAAATTACAGCTAGTTGTGCCTTGCTCTGTGCATTAAGAAAACTCTAGCATTGGAGGGTACTACTTAAAAACATTTCTCTATTTCACAGATTTAATACTTGCTATGAGTAACCTCCCTCTCCCCCCTTTGTTTTATTTTCTCCCCTTTGCTGCAATCACTAAAGGAATCAATCCTTTTTTCACCATAAGAGGAAAAGGAAACAGCAAGGTTTACAGTGTCTGACAGACACCAAAGAATTCAACATTTATTTATGCAACAAAAAAAGCCAGCTTATTTTGAAAATAATATGCACACTGTGTGCCAGGTAGGTGCTAGACAGAAACTGTTAAAGTTTTGGAAGTATCAGGCCCCAAATGTTCAAAAATTTTACAGATTAAATTCCGCTCTTTAATGTTTATATTTTATACTGCTCTGATCTCCTCACTCAGGGCTTGATTTTCAGAATTTCCAAGTACTCACAGTCCATGTTGACTTCTGCAGAAACTTGCCTGTTCAACACTTTGGAAAGTCAAATTCTACATTTTCCAATAGGAACAGCAGCAAAACAACCACATTTATGTGCCCTTTAAAAAGTCCCAAGGGAAGAAAGAAATGGCTTCAGTGCTGGTTAAAAAAGCTAATTCACAGCCTCAGAGAAGACAAGCATCTCTATGAAATCCTGATATCCTGACCCTTCAGAGCTATGCAAGGAAAAATAGACATGCAGAGTTGGAGAAGCAACAAATACAAACTCGGAGACAAAAAAAGTGTTTCATGAATTGCTTCTAGTGATTAAAGAACATTTTTAACCTCACAGTTCAAAGAAAGCAGATGTTCCCATGTTTTAAAAAGTGTGAATACACTACTTGCTTACAAAAGCTCCTTGTGATCCCCTTTACAGCCTGGCAGCCCCCCTTGTCCCGCATACCCCCTTACAATTATAACCTACAGGCTTCTCATTTAGACCCTGTAATAGTCTTATAGTGACAGTTAGTGGAAAGAATCCCTATTTCCTGCCTAAGCATTTTAAGACATTAAAATTTCGACCACAGAGAGACTCTGGTCATGCAAACTTGCAACCTCATCTCAAAACTGCTCTTTGGGGATCTGCCAAGTAAAAGTGACTTTCATCAATCACAAAGCAAGACAGGAAGGGCAGTTTCCACATACCATCCAGTTTTGAGAAGTCTTCTTTACCTTGGTCATCATAAAACATCAGTAGGTAACTGACTTTTTTTGACCCCACGACTGAAGGAGCAATCCAGTGTCTCAGGACAGGAACTACTGGTTGTACATGTGTCTAGAGCAGGGGAACAAACACTCCGCAAAGGCAGAGTAATGGAAAATAGCCCCGTTCACCACACTTTCCATCTCTCCATCATCCATCTCTGACAGGGGAGCAATCAGAAGAACCGTGGGGGGAAAAAAATCCCAAAACCCAAACAGTCCTGCTTTACTCTGGCAGGGGGAAGCCTCCCCTGTGCTCTGCAGACTGCCAAACTGCCTCCAAAAGTAATCACTGTATGGCCAAGGGCCTTCCAGCCAGAAAACACCTACTTGAGCACTTACATGCTTAGGTGTCACGTAAGCAAGCAGAATACAAGGGCTGCATGATCCAACAGGTTTTTTGCAAGCAATTAACAGTAATAACACAAGTCTGCCTTAGTTATCAAATGATACGTTTGAGAAGTCAAAATAAAACCAGCCATGTCTCTGGTTTATCAGTTCACCCCTAGGACTCATCTTCAGAGAAAAAAATTCCCCAAGCTGTATCTGAGCAGCAAGTATTTAAACATGCACAGAAGCTGTCTGACGCATCTCCGTATTAAGCAGCTTTTATAGCTTCAATATATTTGTTGAACTCTGACTGAAAGGGCAATGACTGAAGACACCGGTCTCTTCAGAACGATTGGTTTCAAATGTTGTAAATTAAAACCCGTTACTAAAAGGTCAGACCACTTCTGAATGATGCTTACTAATTGGTAGCACAATCACAGGATGGTCAAACAGAAGTGAAATCCTTTAAATCAGAAGTCTGTCCAGAATGGAAGCTGTTCCCGGTTGTTTGCTCTAACAGCTAGTCTCCCCGAGATACCAGGATGGGGCTTTGATACACTTGGCTCTCCTCTGAATGCAGGACAACATGAAGAACTGCCAACATTCAAGCTTTCACTACAGCTACTGTTGTTCAGGGTTTTGTTGTTTGGGGTTTTTGTTTTGTTTTGTTTTTTTATCTTACACTCTATCTTGCCAGGAGATTTTTCTGTAAGTATGCAAAGAAAAGCATCTTCCTGCAAATGTCAGCCAATTTAAAGCACTCAAATCAGAAAATGGGGGAGGAAGGAATAACAATCTGACATATCCACCAAGAATGCCTGCCACAGCTTTCTATCAGCAGAGAGGGAAATGAAAAATACTCGTTTTAAATTTAAAAGATTTTGTGGTATCAGTTTGCTGCAGAAAACCAAGATCAAAAAATCATCTAAGAGAATGAAAACATAAAATACCTCTGAGATTTTTTGCTACCATGATTAAATTTTACACCCTTTAAAGATGTTCCAACAGTTACTTAAAAGCATCTTATAAGTAAATGTTCCATCTAAATGTCCCTTACCCTAATCCTTTTAGTAGCTGCCATGTTAGATGAAAATCAAGATACCATCATTCTGCTTTTGGGTTTTTTTGTTTGTTTGTTGGGCTTGGGTTTTTTTTAAAGCAATCTAGATGATCCTTATGTTCACCCACATGGAAGGAATTAATTTTTATCCATTGTATTTCAGTATAAACATTAACTGGAGACTAGAGTTCAAAGGTACTGCCTCTCCTGGGCAAGAATGCATAATTTTGCATGCTCTCATTGCAGCAAAGTGAGATTTCACACACTTCTCGGTCCATATCACGAGAGTTAGAGAATTAACGTGGCTTACAAACATGTCAGTGTTTTGTAAGTTATGTATTCAGCTCTCTTCTGCAGAACAAGGACTGGTGGATGACCTCTAACAGACCTTCCTGCAGCTGTGTAAGCCGTGTAAGCCTTGCCACCAGTACCCACCAAGCTCAAGTCAGCCCCAGAGATTACTGCTCAGCAGTTGTGGCAGAAGGATGTGGAAGGAAAGTTTAGGAGCCCCCTCCACAATACAGAATATAAACCTCAAACCCACTGTCATTGATGGTCTGCACTGACTGGGAGCAGTGGAGACAAGCACACATTGTACTCTGCTGCCACAGTTACAACTCACCACCAACTCCAGGAGAAAAACGGGGAAATCTGCTGAGGGCAGAAACATCTTCAACTGCTTCAGCAGATCCTCTACAATTTGCACACCTGAGCTTTACCTAGCCCAAACCAGTCAGTAGGCTTTCACATATCTGGAGCAGTCCTGATGACTCTTATCCAAGAGACAACTTTAAAGGCAGCTTATATGAGAACTTATGTTTTAGAAGATACCAGGAAAATTGGGACCATGGTTCTAGTACTGCTACTGTATAATCCATACTTAACTGCATGAATTGTTTTCATTTCAAAAACAGAATCATCTACATCCACTAATTGCTACTATGCAGAAGAGTAAGCACTGGACTCAGAAGAATTCCTTCCACAATTGTTTGTGAAGATACATCACGTTAATGAGGACAATATTAATGACACCACTATGTGGAGTCATGGGCAGTGTCTGCACCATTCCCACCTGACTTGGAATTGGCCTACTGTCAGAAAAAGTCTAAGCATACATACGTACCCAAAATATATTAACACATACACCCAACCCCAAAATATATTACCAAAATTTAAATTTGTAGTGATTTCTGGAGCAGTAACACTTCTCAGTGCAAAAATGGATAAACATTCCTGTCGTTTTGTGAGTAGAAAGCAACAGCTCTGCCAAGACTTACCATTCTCATATGTACCAGCGTGCATGAAGAAAAAGGTGCAAGAAAGCCCAATTTATTAATTTCCCCATCTAATCTAAAAAGGCTGTGGCCAAACTCACTGTAATTTTTAAGTCTTCACATTATTAAATTCAGTAACATGCTATATATAAACCACTTCTTAAGCTACAGAGTTTGGACTGAACAACTTTCCTTACTAAACATTTTTCAAGTACCATTATAAGAACCACCACGCCCAAATACCGTCCCAGACAGGGCCTGCTGTCTAATTAAAAATCTTGTGGCAACAATATATATCTATATACTCACAAATAAAGTTTACAAAGAAGATGGAATGGATTTGGTCTTTTTTTCTGTTTGCTTTTATTTTTGGTCAATTTTGCATCAAGCTTCAGCATCAACACACATCCTCAAGCTTCCATGTCTTTTTAGTTTGAACAAAAATAGTTTGGAAAAGAGATACAAAGAGATATATAGATCTTCCTTCACTGAAAGCACAAGCAGATTACTAAACTTCCCGTCACAATTTATTTATTTTTTAAAGGGCATGTTTTTAAATAACAAATTAAAAACCTCATGCTTAACTTAATGCTCCTTTAAATGACTAGAAGCACTTTGGCTTTCTTTCACTGCCTGGGAAAGCCAAGTCGACTGAAGGTTAACCACTGCATTTCTAGTCATCCTTAACTGTGTCTGCTAATTGTGAAAGAATGACTAAAGACTCCGAAGCAATGGCAAGCTGTCTTTTCCCATATGGTATGTCCTCAAACCAGAGGCCTCTAACGTGCACCCATTTCTCTGCAAACTGGCTATTTGTAATTAAATGGAAGTCAGATGACGTACTGCCAGAGAAGATGTTTGTGACTCACCTTCCTAGAGGAGCTGTCAAAGTGCACCCCACAGGCTTTGCAGCTCTGTTCGGAGGCAGTGGGAGATGGGAAGGAGCTGTACCCGGGGTTGGAATAGGCTTGGGCTCTGGCTCCCTGCTGCGGCTGCGGCTGCATCTCTTCAGGTGAGCCATCCAGACAAAACCAGTTACAACAGCTTGCCCACATAGTAACTGAAAGTGGAGAAAACACACATTGGAAATGACATGGGAAACAATCTGCCAGCTAAAGTGAGCACAAAGCATAAAATGCATATTTAAATTTCCCACCTTCAATTCGTTTTTGACAGTGTGTTTGTAAGTTTTGATCTTCTAATTTACAAGCACATGCAAAAACCACACACCCAGTCCAGCATGGTACACGTTTGGTGAGAAAGGACAAATACAGTTCAGAGCAGTTATTACTGGAATTTCTTAGAGTTAAGAAATTACAGTGAAGATAAGAGAAAATTTATGTTTCAGTTGGCTGTATGAGACTCTATGACCAAGTCTGCTGTAACAGGCTGTCTCTATTGCACGTAAGCCATAATACACTGACTGTTTTTTGTGCATCGGGAAAAACAAACATAAGCTCAAATTGTCTCATACATTATTTACATAAAATCAGCAGCAAGACCATAGATGGCTTAAATCCCCCTACAGATTTACAGCTACAAATCTAAAAAGAGACAAGGACAGCAGAGCCACTGATTTAACAGTTCTCAACTGAATTTGCAGCATTACAAGGCTAAATCATCACATAGCAAGTAAATGTCAGAAATGTAAGAAAAATCAAATACTAGCTTCTGGTAACTTACTTGGGAAAACAACTGCATCTGAGACACATAATCATTTGTTGGTTTGGGGATTATTTTTTTTTTTTGAAAGTCAAATAATGAGAGAGAGATCTACACACACACACACTTACCTAAATTCCTAACAGTCCAGTGCAAAATGCACAGATTTGGAGTCTTCTAAGACCACCCATACAGCAGTACTCCAGAAATACTCCACTATAAACTTGCTTTTGGGAGTTTACAAAGAAATCTGAATTCATCTGGGCATTCAGTTTCTAGAGCATACACCATGTGTCATCACTTACTGGTAAACAGAATACAAATTGCCTCCTCTGCATTTCTGCATTCACACTGTAGTTCCTGGACTATGTTTCTTTTATGTCTTAAAAAGCAGGTCCATCACTAACAGCGTTCAGCAACTGCTCAATTTTATAAACCTCTGGAAATTAAACATCTCCCAGCTATACAGCCAACTCATTTCTTTTGCCTCAGTAAGTACTGCCACTGTAAAACTCCAGATTCCCAAGGGAAGTGGGCTGGTGTGACTCCTAAAGGTTATCTGGTATAATATATACCAACATACTGTTCTGTTGATTTTTTTTTTTTTTTTTTTTTTTTTAGCTCTGTTAAGTCATTTCAGTTGATGTGCTTGAATTGGGAAGCTTCTGTAGTTTGGTGCTGTTCCAGTATCTGTAGCTTTAGTGGCATCTTTAATCTTTTCAAAATCTAGCTGAATTTGGCTCGTCAAAGTTACTGCTGTCGCTGCACTGGACATTCGCCTTTCAAAATCCACAATGGTGAGCTTACCAACAAACTCTACCCTGCAGGCTCAGCAGATTTTAATGTTTAAGTAAAAATCTACAGATTCATGAGATGATAAACAATTCTCAGTGTAACTGATGTGCACAATGCTGATCGTAACAAATACATGGAGAGAAGTGTTCCAGGAACAGCAATAACGTATCATCCCTGTGTATTAGCTCTCCACTCCAATCAAAACACATACTTTAGATATCATACATAAAAGAAACAATTGCTCTTTTTCTTTCTGCACATTAATTTTCAAGCTATTGGTCCCACACAGAAGTTAACATATCCTTTGTACTGCAAAATTACTGAATTTCTATTTTAAACTATGCTGTTTGGAGGTTTAATTTGTTCCCAGGAATTGCAAATCTAAACAACATGAAAGCTGCACAGTCAAACAAGTATTCACAACCTCCACAGCAGTGAAAAACTGCATCCATAGTTAAATTCCCTTCCTGTTTCAAGGACCCCTGCAAACTGAAGGCTGAAGGCCACCCACGATAACAGAATACACAAATGCTACTGCCTGACCCCAAAAGTTTGTTTTCCTAAAAAAAGACAGCCCACTAATTCACTCTGGAACATTGCAACATGTCAAACATTGAAAAGAAAAACACAAAGAAGTGCATAAACCAGGATAAAATAAAGCAGACCTCAGCATTCAGCTGGAGTAGTAGTTTTGTGTAAATGCCAGGAAATGAGAAGGTTAACAAAAGGCTTGGATGTTGCTTTAGAAGAACCTTAATCCTGCTCAACTAAAAAAGCACGGAAGGGAAACATCCATAAACAAACAACTAATAACAAGGACCCTCCTCTGATTTGTATGTTTTTTCCAAAGGTATCTCTCATCTTTAAGAGGAAGGAGCACATGGAAACATGACAGCCATTCCTACAACACAGGCACACTACTTCAGCCTGTACCAGCGTATGTCAGGTTTTAATTATTTAAGGACCACTATGTACAGCTCTAAGTTTAAGTTAGGGCTTGTCCACATGCAGCATCTACATTGACAAATATCCTTCACTGAAAACCGCTCTGTGCTGATGGCTGACAGTCACCCAGAAACGGACAGCTCTCACTTCACTCGCAGCATTTCAGGAGGCTGGTGGGCTCCTGCAGAGCAGGTGCTTTGCACTGCGAGCGGGCATCCCACGCTGCTTTTGGGCCACAGGCAGCTCTTGTGCCAAGCGGGATTCACCTCCAGGCACACCAAGAGACACCTGCCAGTCCGCGAGCATCATCTCCCAACACGGCATGCAGGTCGGGGGCAGCGTGGTGGCAATGCCACAGCCCGCTCCAGCGCAGCTCAGGCTGCCCCAAGTGCAAGGAAAGGAGCTCACGGATGTTTCCACCTCTGTCCACACATGGCCACTGTGCTCTGCACCTCAGTCAACATCGCCCCAACTAATTTTGTAGGTATCTGTCACCATTTCCAAATTCACAGGAGACCATAATGGCTGAAAAGCAAGGATTACACTTTTGATTCCCGGAACATGCTGGGGATGCTACGTGGGAACTTAAAAATGCTGCCACCAGTTAGACAAAGCTTTGCTAACTGGCAGCTATACTACCAAGCAGATACGACTGAGCCTTAAGATGCTAAAATGTCTGTGTATCTGCCCATAGCTGCTCTAAGACAACAACAAGAAATGCAGGTGAGATTCAGCAGCTCCTTCAAGAGCGATTTTTCCTTTGTTCTGTACAGGATCACTTTTAGACCGGAGGACACAACCATTGCCAGTGGGAGAGGACTGGTAGTCGCAAGCGGCAATTCCCTAGACACCTCTACAGTGCTTGCTACAGCCTAATTATTCCCTTATTTATTTTGTAACACATTCAGAGGTATGTTGTCAGCACCATCCAGAAACTGATAATTCCCATAAGCAATGCTTTGACAGATGGGTTGCTGTTACACGTGGCAGAGTTTGAACATCATAACTAGCAAGCACTGCCCTGTGTAACTCCTGTCAGTCCTCTGCAGATGAATGGCTGTTCTGCATGCAAGGAGCTCCACAATTATGCTGAAGTGACAAATAAATGCCCAGCCAAAAAAGTTTACCAGACGAAAGATCTACTTCTTTGTTGTGCTCCAGGGCTTGGTAAATACTTACAGTAAACTGACTGATATTAACATGTTGGTTTGGAAAAGTTAATGACACCACAGATCTCAGGAATTCTCAAGCAACTTCTTGAATAAAGGAGGGTGACTTACTGGCATGACTAACGTTACAGGCATTACTGATACCAGCAGCCTGTATTATTCTTGGACATGATGCTCATACTGGCCAATGGGAGCCACAGAAAATAACTGTTTTAACCATGCAGCTGAGCATGTTTTTGGGGAACTGAAAGCTATATGGCAGGCACTCAACAGATGACTTCTGGCAGCCAAGAAGTACCTGCCCTAAATCGTAACTGCTTGTTGTGCTTGGTGCACCTGCAAGAGCAAAGGGAGAAGGAGCTTCACTGAGGGTGGAGATGCAAGATCAAACAGTCTACCCTGGACCTGTAAACACATCCACCCACATGGCAGTGATCATGCTGAGCTTGTTTTTGGGAAGGGGGATTGTTTTATCTTCTTTCTTGAGTCTCTTTAAGGAAAAGCCAGAAGAAATCCAATAAATATTGGACAAGGCAGGGAGTTGCTTGCCGTGGTCTGAGGGCAAAGCAGTGCTAGCACTCTATCATGCTCTGCTGGATTGCGGTTTTTTTTTTTTTTTTTTTTTTTCAGTATGAAGCTGTGAATGCTATGACTCTCTTCACTGATTTTAAACAGAAGAGTGAAATTCATTTCACCACCTGTCCATTAACATGTTCTATACATCACCATGAGTTCTGTATAAATTTGCAAGCATAATTTAATTCCGGAAGAACTACCAGTGATGTCAAAGTTTTCCTCCCATACACTGTTGAAGATAGTATTCAAAATGCAAGCCTGGAGTTTTATACTTTCCATCTTCATTAAAAAAAAAAGCATTTGAACTTAGGTTGTCACTATATATGCAATATTAATGCCATAACCTTGCTGGCTGGAGTATCAGAGATCACTGCCTACATACAGGATTTATTACACATGCTTTGTGTATTTCTAAGGGTAGGCTTTGGCTCTATAGGAAAACTGTGATTTATGTTTGAATATAAAATTTCCCTTTATTTTTCCTAGGAATGTGAACAATAAGGGACTAGAACCGGCGAAAGGAACATCTCTCAGAATGACTGAGCTTTCAGCTGTGTGCAATAAAGCTCTCAATGACTGTGTTTGGCTTCTTGTGACTGCTCAGGAATTTAGGGGCTGGAATTCAATAGCACCAATGAGATACTTGAGTTAAGGGACCAAAAGGAACTGAGCTCCCATGTGAGGAGAAGCGTCAGCAACAAGTACTCCTCTTCCTCCTCCTGAGAGGCCTTCAGCCACTGGAACAGCAGAGCTGATGACCCTTGAGGCTACTGCAAATGGAGAAGGGTGCCCAAAGGGAGATGCAAGAGAAATAGCAGCTTTGTTAGGGCATGTTTTCCTACAATAATGTTTGGTCATTAGTTCTGTCAGCTGCCCTCACACCTCCTGAGTTTGAGTCTGCTCACCACAATGAGCTGCTTTGCTATTAGCTCCCTGAACCATCAAGCTCCTCTTCCAATCTCATTTATCCAGAGGCCATCCTCCTTAACTACTTCCTCACTACATTTCAGAACCTCCCCCTGTGATCCCAAACTGTCGTCTTCTGCTTCTCAGCAGTTTCCATTAGATTAATGCGGAGTGTCTCAATCTTCTCACTCTTTCCTACACACCAGAGAACTGCCAAACTGCCGAATCCAGTAAGGTCTGTGTGCTTCACATATAGGTGCTATACAACAATGCATATCCAACCTGCCATCCATTGTGTGGCCTCCACAACGTCAAAACCACATTCATTGGTAAGATACCTTTCAAGGCAACACATCAAGACCGGGAATAATTCTATTCACAAAAGCAGTACTTTCTGCCATTTCTAGTAGCTTGAAAATCACCGAAATCTATTCAGAAAACCAGAACAGGGCAGTGTGGCTTTAAAATACTGATGTCTTGCTAAAGTACATTTAAAATTATTATTTTTGCATTATTATTCCATGTTGTATCCCCTGCAAAATTCAACAGATCTCACTTTCATGAATGCTGCTTTGCAATGATTTAAGTATTTAATGAATTAACCATCTTGGTTCCTCATTAATAGCATTATACAGTTGCTCATTGTTATAATTTACCTTTTTTTTTTTTTTTTTTTAGTAAACCTGCACTGATAAGAAATGCCTTGCTAAACTTAACTTCATTAATGACCTACCACTTAGAAACTGAATTCACAGTTTGCTTAGTCAAAAATAAGTATTTACTTGGTAGCAGGGCTATCAAATAATCTGCTCAAATGACATTTATGCATGAAGTATTATTTTTATCAGCCTGTGTCACAGGCACACAGACCTGAATTATGATAAATGGGTGCAACCATATGTTGGGACAGGTGGAAAAGTCAGCAAATTAGCCATTCACAGGAGGCATAAGGGAAGGAGGCGGGTTGCCAGTCTGAGCATGACATTTGCAGAGATGGTGTCTTAACCAGTACAAAACGCGAGAAAATGAAGAGTGGGGACCAGCCCTGGCTATCTTTCACAAAGCACGTAAACCTAATTTGCTATCTAAAACAGCTGGATTGAACACGTAAGATTTTTACCTAGGGATAGAAAAAAACGTGTTTATGAGTAAAGGTACTAGTTCACATGTGCCCAAGGTGACAGCATACACATCTTGAAAGATTAAGTAAATAAATATTAGCACTGTATCACAGCCAGAAACGTGTGTTCAGGGGAAGACAGACTGAAATTTTTCAGATGGAGGAGACATGTTTCTATTTTGTTCTGTTCCTTCAAACTGTCTGGAGACTTTTTGTATCTCTAATCATCTAAGTATGCAATACGAACAATATTTACAAAGACAGACGTACAATTGCTCACCGGTCTGATCAGCAACTTCGATGTCAGCCTAAAATTTTTCAGGTGAGAAACTGGCCAGCTATGAAGGCAGAGGACGGAGCGTTCAGGTCAACCTGCACCAAGCATAGTCAGAACCGGGTGTCCAGGTTAGTGTCTGTGGCGTCTTGGTCAGGCTTCTGTGCATCCAAGAGAGCCTACGCTGCCAGGCACAGGGGGGCTAGCAGTTGCACTGGCACCGTGCCTGCATCCTCGGGTCGGCTGGCTGCTTTCGACGGACAGAGCAGGCTGACACTGGCACCCCATGCCCGTGCGCTGTCTAGACCTTCCCCTTCAGAGGGGGCCAGCGCACGGCCGGTAGTTCAGCCTGTGCCTTCTGGGAATCCATCTTCAAACCCTCTTTAATACAGCACCACACAGTTGCACCTGTGCTCCTCCACCTCGGAGATGCCTTCAAAGCCTCGACGTGTGGGTGCCAGGCATCTCGGAAGGCAGGAGATGCAGCACATCCCAGCGCCTCCGGGAGCCGGATCACGGAGCGTGGCACACAACCGGATTCAGCAGCGTGTGCGCTCACTAGGTGCACGGCTTCTCGGAGCGCGCGAGCCCGAAGGAAGAGAATCTGGCTGCACACCAGCATTTTAATCAAGGAAGTGACATCCATTTACCACAGAGCAGAAAGTAAACAGCACGGCCCGTTGGGGCAGGGTGCAAAGCAGTGCAGGGAAAAGCTGGACCTGGGCCACAGCAGTTCAGCACAGAGACAGCCACACACAACTTCACTGAAATGCTATCGCCTTGAATTACTGCTGATTCTGAGAGAAGCACCAAAAGTAACTTCCTAGTTATATGGCACAGAGGAAACCATCACGCAGACAAAGATCCTTTTATACTGCTGTAACCTGGTTTACTATTGGAGTAAATAAATTGCAAGGTAAGCCCTTAGAAGATTTGCTTAAATGAGAGGAAAATGAAGGATTAGAGTTCTCAAATACATGAAAAAAACACAGTGGGTATTCTACAAACATTTTGCAGCTTATCGGTGTTTATCAGTGTGCTCTCCTAAAAGTAACTTGCAAGCTTACTCTCAGCAACACTTGCTGATGTTGTTTGGTAGAAGATCAACAGATCTTCAGTGAAAGCACCTTTGCCCATAAGCAAACCCCACCAATACTGTTACAAGCACAAAGGATCTAATCTTCAAGCACCTCTACAAAACTAGAGCACTTCATTTTTCATTTTAAAATTGAGAAAATGAGTTCAGAAGCTGTGTGATTTATAGAGCACTACACGGGAAGCTAATTCCAAAGGCAGAAACGCACCCCTCACTTTGACTCCAGCCTGCACCTGAATTGCAAACTCAACACTCAGCCAATTTCTCCTCTGTAGCACAAGTAAAACCAAAGGATTCTTCCCAATTTTAACATGAGAATCTTGGAATCCTGTTTTGTTTTAAAAGGCACTGGGTACCTGGGGTATGTATTATTTCAATATAAACTGTTTATTTTGACCCAAAATTGCATTTTATATATTGAAAAATATTGAGATAAAAGGTTCTTCTTGCTGTTAAACGTAATTAGGTCTCTAGGCATCTGCTAAGATGGAAGTTCAACAAGAGACTTTTTCCTTTGCAAGTCAGTGACACTCTTCCAGAAAGTTAACACAAAACAAAATGTGATTAATGAAATCACGTGACTAGTTTTAGAAAATTATTTATCTTACCCAGTCTATCTTAATACCTTAGTCCCATACATTTTCCCAAGTAATGTGCTGTGACCTCAGACAGACTATCTCCCTTCCCCTCTGCTGCTATGCTGAAAAACAATTAAAAAAATCTGGTGCACTCTTGCACTCTCACACTAGTATGGTACTCATCAGCAAGACAAAATTAAGTTAGCTGTACTACATAGCATGAACCAAGTCAGAAAGAGAGGAAAGAAAACTCTGGAGAAGTAAGATTTCAGACTACTCAGTTTTATTACCATTCCCACCCTCCCAGCATCCTGCTTGGCTGTACGTGTGTGTCTATTCTTTGTCCCACACACAAAAGTGGCAGTGAAAAGTGGAAGCTCTCTGTCAAAACTTTAGTCTGGGATTCCTGGACTGCTCATTGCTATCATGCACCCTTTCAATCAGTCCTTTTCATTTGGGGAAAAAGGTTAATGCTGGCTTGCACTCTGAATTTTTTCTCAGTTCATTCACATCATCACAAGTCTTCCTTGGATTTAGTTTCAGCCAGCTGTTTTTTTTTTTCAAGCAGTGAATAGCTGCTAAAACTGTAATTGCAATATGTAGCAATAAAATGCTAAATGAAAATTTAACTAACCATGTAGCTTCCTTAACCAGCTCTATTCAAGGAAGGTCATCACTCCATACTCTCCAGACTTCACCTCAAACTCCATCTAGACCACTTTTCCATGACAGCCACACAACAATAGCTAGCTGGGAGGTCAGCTGGATCTGTGCCCACCTGAAAGCCAGGAGTGGTCTCCAAAGGCACAACATAAGCTTTTCAGGGAGTCTTCCCGCTCATACGCTACAAATACCTCGCTCTCTTTGCAAAGTTTTACATTGCCCAGAATAGGAAGTTGCTCAAACTAAGTTTCCGCTGTGCTGCAAAAGACAGCTATGAACTAAATGACTTCAGCATTCAGATATTACAAACAAGCAGTAGCAGTTCCACAATTTAACCAGGGACATCAGGGGAACAGCTCTGACTTGCCTCAGCTTTCACCATGGAAGAAGGTAACCACTGTTGGATGGCTTTAATGATACTCTTCTCCTAAGTGGGGGGAAAGGAGGGAGCTGGAGAAAAAAAGGGGAGGAGAAAGGATGTCAATTTGTATTTTTATCATATCACTACAGTTCCCACTTCAGATAAAGAGATCAAGCTATTTCCATTGAAATCCCTGGCCCAAGACGCCTATGACAGCTGCACATCTTGTTTCACTGTGACAGGAGGTTTCTCTCCAACTGGATAAATTTACATATTCATCAACAGTTCATCTTTGGAATGGAGCACAAGCATATGGGGGCAGTTGAAGAGAGGAGAAAGAGAGGCATTATCCCAGACACAGCTCCTCAAATTTATAAAAACCCTTGTCCCCAACCTACAGAAGCAGGGTAGGGGGACAGAAAACAGGAGGCATCTCCACAAATTGCAGCGGTGTGCACAGCAACTCCCTACCCCAGCTGGTGTACAAGGATTCAGAGGGGTGAAGTACTCTAAAGCAGCTGTTCCCAACACAGAGACAGTTAAGTACAGTCTTAAGTCTCACAGTGTTATTCATCCAACAGCTGAGCTTGGGTTGGAGGTGGTACAGTATCAGTCAGAATTACATTAAGTTTGTCTGAAAATTGGGATTGCAGTTGGCACTAATGCTCCAAGGACTCCGTGTTATCACTGTCTCTCAGACACCCAGAATTGAGAGGGCTTGCTGGTAAACTACAACACCAGTTGGAAATCCCGTAAATTACTTCTCATGCCAAGCTTCGGGTTTATTTTTAAACAGTAAACTTCTAACTCTTCCCCCCACCCCCACCTTAAAATTCCTCACACAAAGCTTACACTTTCCCTCCTTATTTCAGGAACTGTTAATAGAAAATCAACCTAAACCCCACGGAATTCATACATGTGGAAAAGTGCATGTGCAATAAAATCGCACACAACAAAAGATCTGTGCAGACTGGTAGGCAACCTCTAGCCTATTTAACTGTAGCCTAAAAAAAGATAATATTTATTTGGCTAGACTGAAAAAGATCTCAATATATATAATTGAGGCACATCATAACAAGTACAAACACTGAGGACTCATTTTGTAGCTATGCCTATTCCAAATTAATCTGAATTCAAATCCAAAGTAGGTGCTGAAATTTAGTAAAATGCAACTGCATATCATCTCCTTTGGTTGACATGTACAAAGACCAGCACATAGGTCACATCTGAAATGGTGTAGAAAGCTCAGTTCTCCCAGACTGCAGAAATGAGTGGGTCAGCTGTTAAAGAAAGGTCCAGGATACTGAATACAGCACTGAAAAGCAACAGACTTGAATACCAGTTTTGTTACTGAGACAACAAGAGATACCAAAATAAAAAAGTCAGTTTATTTATGGCTTAGACACCTCATCTGTGGACAAGGAAAAATACCCCACCCTCACTTGAAATAAGCTAGTATAGGTGAAAGTTTGAGAGAGACTTTGAAGTTGCACTCCTAAAGCACTTCCATAAATATTAACTGTCATTTTTGTGCCAATATCCATTTGGCACTGAAGGGCTTGAAATTCAAAATTGCTTACGTGCAGCCCTGGATAAGAGCTCTGAAAACTGAGGGAAGGTTCAAGCCTTACCATTCAGTGTCTGCCAGCGGGACTTGCATGAACTACTTCTAACATGGGACAGATGTTGTGAAAAAGTCCATTTCCAAGTATCTATACAGTACTTGTTTCTAGGGCTGAAAGATTCTAAATTGGCTCCTTTACCACTTCCCTTGTCCAAATGCCATGCCTCTCTTCCAGGCTCAATCTCTGCAGAACACTAAGGACTAGTAACCCCGAGGCAATGCAGATTGAAATCCGGGCTTTATTCAAACTGAAGCATGGACAAACCTAACAGCCATCACATCCCATATTTTTGGTTACTGAGTTGAAGGGCAACATCCCTAAGAGATCCCCAAGAGCTCATGGGAGCTTACCAACATTATCAGCACAAACCAAAAGTAAACTTTTGTCTCTTGAAACTAAAGCCGTGAACCAAAAAACCAATGTGAATTTCCTTTACTGTCACATCTCTATACATATATTATGGTAGAACATTAAACTTCTGGGTCAAGCATTTTAATCACTTGTGTGAACTGCCAAGAGGCAGAATGGGGCATTCTTCAAAGGCACAGCTCACCTCAAACTGCTGCAATTTATGTTAATCAAAGCAGAAAGTCAGGATTGCTGAACATGAAATCATCATTTGATCCTACCTGTATAAAATGTATTCTAAAAAAAAGACTGAGGGGATACTAAGTAATGAAAGCTTCAAACAGCCTTTAAGGACCTGCATCTGGTGCATTTCCTACCTTCCTCATGAAGAGGAAATTTCCCATATATGGTCCAAGCTGACAAGCAGACTCGGGTCACATTTCAGTTCACGGCTTTTGGCAAGCCCAAGCATTCAGACATCATGAGTCAGTGCTCCAGAAATCATTGGGTTTTATAAACCAGTAAATCTATTTCATTTTGGTTTTTTATTTTGCCTTGGGTTTGCTGGGGTTTTTTTCTACCTTTGCAGTACAAAGGCATCATCACATTTTCCTCTGTAACTGGGAAGAGGATGTTTTTTCATTCTGGGTTTGTTTGCTTTGTAAAATGGCAAACGATATTTTCATATGAGACTAAACCCTGGCATTGGAGCATTAAGGAAAAAGAAAAAACAACATACCCACTATCACGGAAGTTGGGAACAGATACTGTGCTGTCTCATACTTTCACACAGCCCTTTTACAACAAAGAACACTTATTTTTAAAATAAAACTTCAAAACGTCTTCACTTCTATTCTCAGATCCCAAACAAATAATAACTTATCTGGCATTTGAACACAAGCCGACATGATTTCTGCTGCTAAGCAGCTCCCTGCAACACAAAATCTTTTCTACCAATAACCTTATAACATCAGCATAAAGTTTCTTCCATTCTGAATTCTACTTTTCTC